CATCGTTCAAGAAAAGTTGCGCGAGTAATAAAATGCATTGTGTACAGTAGTGATAATGGGCCATAGAGGTGCAAATAAGAACGTATTTGAAGATTCTTGTGGAAATATTATTGGCAAGTCAACACCTCATATCCATACGAATGTGGTTTTTTACCCCATGCAACAGTAGACTTATAACCTTGGAGTTAATGATGCGAATGGAGATTCATTGTACGTCTAAGCAGAGAACATAGCTAGTAGGTTATCACAAGAAATAGCATCATGTTTGATATCTTATTTTCAAAACAACTCTGAATTTTCAGAAGACAAAAAGCTAATAGCATCTGATTATTGTTGGGGTCAGAACAAGAATAAGATTATTTTTCTTTCTAGAATTATTTATGGAACTACTTAGTATATGATCTACATCTCTTTGATAAAGTGAACTATACGTTCTCCCTCCTAGGACACACGACTCCTCATTGCGATAGTGATTTTGCGATTATTGAGAAGAAAAAGAAGCCCATATTAACAATTTACTCTCCACAGCAGAGTGTAAACACCACATCAAGGAAACGAAACAAAGCTTTTCATGTAACAAAAATGAAGAGATGTGCAATCTTCCCTCACTCCTATTGTCTCGTCTCTTTCTTCAGTCAAACATTATTAAAGAAAACTTAATACAGAAAGCTACGAAAATTGAAATAAAGAAAAACAAACCAAGCTCCGTTTTCTTTGATTAATAGTACTCTGATACAGCCGACTGGCAAGAAGTCAACATCTCCATGCGAGAAAAAGGAATATTCACAGTGAACTGTCTTGTCTCTACCAAAAATGAAAGGAAGCTCTCTTAGAAGGAATTGTTTTTAAATTGCAAATATTGTTCACAATATTGCGCGAAAACTACTAATATTTTCAAACAAATGTACATTACCTTAATAAAAGTGCTAATTATGGACAACAAATTTCATTTGAAGGAAAAATCTCTTACTTTAATATTGTAGTTATAGGAAGACGGCCAAAAAAGAATCAGTCTTTTGCAATCTTCGAAAATTGAGAGTTATAAGTGAAAATCGGACCCATGCCGCCTTGATAACAGTATCTTACTCTGTTCTTACACGAAATTTAAAGAAAAAAAATTGGAGACATTTTTGAGAAAATTTTGAAAATGACCGGAGGACTTCATATAAAGTATCCCCAAATTTTAAAGAACTTTTTTTCAAAATTTCATACCTTCGACTCGACTCAGATGGACGGGGTTTTCTTCAATTTGAAAAAAAAAATCCTACGTATGGTTTAAGTGCTACTAGTGTTGACAGGCGGAGGTTTTGAAGAAAAAACACATTTTTTTGGTATCAGGGGACTTGAAAATGTGTTTCCGTTGAATTCTCGAAATCCATTTCCGTCAGCATTACATAACTTACCCTATACTACGTATATTACTCCGTATGTATTACTCGCGCAACTTTTCTTGAACGATGGATTGAAGAAATGCGGGTAGAGTGGGGGTATTAGTTACGAAATCGACCACCAGATTTCATGAAGCAATGCCAATCTCCGGAGAATCAGTCATGCCTTCGCAACGTTCTCAATAATTTGCGTTCTAATTTTCTC